ATTTCATTGCACTTTGAAAACCAAGTAATAACTTAACTATATGTGCAAACGTTTTATGATATGTCGCTGTTGTGAATGTCTGTGGAGTGTATCTTATTTGCCTGTCTGTCCTGGCTCTCTCGCTCGCCCTCCCCCCTCTCTCCCTCAATTCAATTCATTTCAAGGTTAATGAATGGTTTAAAAATTCCACTTTTAAAGGTGATATATAAAATCAAGGCTTTAACTTGCTTTAACTCCGCAATGTATTTAAAAAATAAAAACGATTACAATCTAAGCTTTCCACGTTTGATCCCAAGATCCCAAGAAAAATAAATCTAAATGGGGAGAAAGCTATGCTGAAAGTTTATTAAGATACTTAGAAGACAAAGATATCAATTTATGTTGCATTTGTCTGATTAGGAATAAAAAAACACATATATTTAAACCCGCTTTTGCGATTTAAATCAAAACGGGATTTAAATCAATATAAATGTTTATATTACAAAATATACATTTGTTTGGTGCGAGTGAGGTTTTATTTAATCTCTGACCAACGGAAATGTTTCATTTTTTCAAAGAAATGTTTGTTAAAAATAAAGTCATGGTTCCACAGTGGGATTCAATCACTATGTGACATGGGAGTCAGGAACCTAACCCACAGCGCCACCGGCAAGGTCACATGCAGAGTGCCGAAAAAGCACTACAGAAACATTATCAACAGACAATGTACAGCGTGTACTATTCTTGTGTTGCAGTACATGAATATAATTATATCGTTATTAATTTCTTTAGATACGCGATTCCATATTATATTCCCTTTTAATCAAATTCTAAAAGTATGCTTGTTGACTCCGGTATCACGTTAGTTAAGGACTTCGATGCTTAAAATGTTTAGGGAGAAATGGAATACTGGTGTGTATTTTTTTCTTTAAAGTACCAAGACCAGCTATATACTGTATGTTTACGTTCCAAAATTAATATCGTTTATGGCCTTCACACGCGTTACAGTATGCTCCTATTCTTTTTATGCTCAGGTACTAAGATTTCCCTTCAGTGGCAAAATTCCATATAAATATTCAATACTACAACGGGCACAGTAAAGACGTTTACTGTAAATCTTTCTACGACTATGAGTGCCCCTGTCGGTCAACCAATCACGTACCGCGGTACAGCGCGTCATCGTGCCTCACAATGCGCGACGCCGTAGCCAATTACCTCCGGTAAGTGTGTGTACCGCGCACTTTGAATGGCTGCATCTGTATTTTTGACACAAGGACAATAGAGATACATGGTCAGAAAGACAGGCACCACTATGTTTCAGAAACGGTACTAAAGACTACATCTTTTCATAGCTGTTCCAATCAGTAAAATATTTTAATTGATATAGCTCTCTTCACAAAACTTTGCCAAAGAGCAGATTCCCAAACAGAAGTCCCTGCAAATCCCTGATGCATCTGGTGTTCTAAATAAATTGTGTAATGTTCAATAACCAGCAATTCAGGATATTATCAATTAAATGTTAAATTATAATAACTATTTAAAATCAATAATCTGTGCAATTCATTTTTCAAACAACTACATAACTGCTGTGTCATGATCATGACACTCTTGGGTCTGTCCACCGCAAAGAATATTGGAATATGATTGGCCTGCACATTGTAGTTATTAAAAAAAATCAGTTCCTCTCTGTACGGTACTCTGATCTTAAAGCAGGGATTCCCAATCCTATACAATCCTATACTATATACTGTAGGCTATAGGCAGGTGTTTCTACAGTTTGCAGTGCAAATGGGCTCTGACCTAAAAGTGCTCATTATTAGCATAATGGGAATAGTTTAACAGTTTCTCTGAGCTCTTCATGTATGGGTACTATAAGGATATTTTATATTTTAGATTATATGTATGTTTTATGGAGTAACCAAAATATTATGTTGCAAGGTTCTACAGTATGTATACACGTGAGACAGAAGATGGTCAACGTGGGAATCAAGGGGTTGTTTTAAGATTACAAATTGATTTTTTTTGCTTAAAATATCACTAATACTTTATGTTCTCGGGATACAGATACTGGAGAAGGGGCTTGTGTACCCCCCAAAAAATGCATTTACAGTATCTATGTGTGACAGGGGATGAATCACTGCTTTGTAATAGCGAAAACCTGCAAAACTTATTGGCCCTTCAGTATCAACCTACGCCAAAGAGAGGCGCGATTGTTGCTGATATGAAGCTGTTAAAGATTGCTAGCCAGCAGAACATTTGTTCTAATCTGATAAACTTAATGTAACAGAGATGTTAGTCAATTAAATTTCGTCGTACCTTACGGGGTTAGGCATGTAACCGGGTCACTGGAGCCCGTGTGGTGGCGCTACTTGCACACCGCACTCGCACCCTGCAGTGACTGGTTATCATATCAAAGCGCGTTTCACTGCAAACATTTTATCCTCCCATTGTTAAGTATGGTTTTTGGTCTCAGCTACAAAACAAAGAATAGAATTAATGTTGATTCGTTTCAATCCAGAAATGCAAGAAACGCAATGATTTCAAATGTTATTGTATTATTCAAAAGAGGAAAAATAACGCACTAAAACGTATGAATTAATCGTACAATAAAAGAGGTCAATGTTGAATCTATAACAGACCGAAAAGATGAAGAAAGCAGGAAACATCTCTTATTTTCCCCTTTATCCTTCAGAAAATGACACATTCCACCTTTCAGAATGGGTCTTTCTATTCGTTTTTTTATCTCGTTGTAAAAATTCTGCATTGAAATATTTTGTTATTCATATGAGAACAACATTATGAATGATAATATGCAGTTTGTTTTAAGGTCTTGCATGTATTTTTTCCATCGTGAAATACATACAGTATAAAGCTAATTATGTAGTAAATCATTTTTCACTTCCCTGACCTGAAAAATTCAGATAATGATATCTCAACTGAACGCACGATTTCATAATTTCGTTGATTACGAAAAAGTAGCTACATACAAATAATTAAAATGTAACAGCCTGTGCTACATTCCTCGAGTTGTTGTTTTTTTCCACCCTGATGGATGAGAACAGCCACCATTTTCTACAGTGCCCTTTCTCCTGTACTTTCCCGAGCCCAGCTGCTTTGATTTAGATTGTGGAATAATCTGAGAATTCAGAAAATTTTATTTAGCAATTCTACATACTTGACAAACTCATCCAATCGGTTATCAACTTCGCATCGTGAAAAGATTGAAATAAATGCATGTGGCGAAAAGTAAATTAATTAAACAATACAACTGTTGTAATTTAAATTTTGGCCTTTTCTGCTGCGGACAACATTTTTGCTAAGTCTTTCTTGTATTTACCTTGGCTCCAATTTGGTTTCCACATTGCCCAGCTTGCAGATGAACTATTTCACGCATCTTGATCCCGGAGAGCAGATATTATAAATTCTGGCACTGATATCGTTAAATATTATTATTTTATGCGAACCGTAACACCTGCAGAAGGATGTCACTAGTCTCTTTAGCTCTCACGCCCAGCTCTCCCTGATATGCGCTCATATGTACTGAAATGTACTGGTCCTCTACTGCAGCATGACGTCATCCCCATGGCAACTACGAACCTTAAAGGGAACCGCTAGCCTACATGGAGGTTTAGTTCTTTATTAAAGCTTATTGAATTACGCATTATACAATACTGGAAACGCAACCTTTTACGTAACTTAAACTAATCTGCAGTATTTATCGTATTATTGCACATTTATTCAGAATTTGACACTAGGTTAATAAAAACTGTCCCCGGTAACACCAGACTAGCCTTTTCAGTTTCATTTCTGAAAGAAACACAAAATTGCAACAGCAGGACTTGTTTTGTCTTTTGAAAAAAAAACTATAAAAAATAGTTCTCTAACTACATACTGAGATTGTATTTATTACATCAATACATTTAAAGGATTGAATTATATTATTGTGTCACATGATTGCACTCAGATAGCTAGATTTGAGCACATATTTTTTCCTTTAAGTGATTAATAATAAGAACTCCTTACACTTATTTAGAGATTTTCTGGACACTCCACTCAAAGCACTTTACAGGTAATGGGGACTCCCCTCCACCACCAATGTGCAGCATCCACCTTGTATTGAATAATGTGCAAGAGGAGGGTTAAAAAATACTTTTTCATGTGTCGGAAAAAGTAGAAGAACACTTTATGGCCCAATGGCAAGGGTTCTTTCCACAGATCCAGTCCAAACAGGTGTTTTCAAATCTGGAAAATTCCTAAAAACTAGAAGAAAGTCAGAAATTAAAAAAAAAACACCCCAAGTGTCCTCATGTAATTCTAGTTTGTCTACTTGCAAAGTTTCCTTGTTTGTAGACACTCATGTAGTTTTCTTATGCAACCTATCTAGATATTTAGACCCTTACAAGTGACTGAACACTTGGCTGTGTGGCAACTTCAAGTGTAATAGTGATATGTGAACGATGGCCACTATAACTGTTATGTAAGAAATGCAACTGCTTCTTTTTAAACTTTATATTGATGTGTTATAAAAAAAAATGACCTTGGTCTGTAGAACTTCTTGGTTTTTATTTCCGAGCAGACTTACTGTAGGATTGTACTAAACCTACTATGTGGACCATATGTGATAGACGCTGTCAATTTCTCCTTAAATGGGGAATGAAGGATTCCTTTTTCTACAAAAGTAGTGGGCCGCAGGCTGTGGGCCAAAACAAAATGTCTGCCATATGTATGCATTTCATTGGAGTATAGCAAAAATCAATTTTGTTACACCTGCTTGTTTAATCCCAGTGACAGCTAACGACACAGCTACCCAGTGACATCTGGGCTGAAAGGCTCCGATTGCTCCCTTAGTGAATGTTGTTATTGGTCAAGCTACACAGGATGTCAGTATCTAAGTCAACTTCTCTTGGGTATTATTACCCAGATCAGATTAGAAGAAAATAATATATTTCCATTAATTTCTAAAAGGTGTGCTCATTTCTGCTGATTGCTGAGTTGTTGTGGGACTGATCTTGAATCACCTGGTTTTTCTCATTTTTTTTTGCTCCTGTAGTTCTGGATCCCAACACAGCAGCCCCCCGTCTGTTAATGTCTGAGGATCTAACCAGTGTCAGAGATGGTGGTGAGAGACAGCAGTTCCCTGGGAATCCAGAGAGATTTGATTACTATGCTTTTGTGCTTGGTTCTGGAGGATTCACTGCAGGGAGACACACATGGGACATACTGTAGATGTAAGAGACAAAACATCTTGGGTCTTGGGTATTGCTAAAGAGACAGTCAACAGGAAAAGACTAATTGTTCCAACACCAGGAGAAGGATTCTGTACAATAGGTCTGTGGGATGGGATTTACAGAGCTCTGACTTCACCAGGAACACAACTCACTCTGAAAAGGAAACCCCAGAAGATCAGAGTGCAGCTGGACTATGACAAAGGGGAGATGTCATTCTCTTACCCCAGTGACAAGACGCCCGTCTACACTTTTAAGAACACATTTCATGAAAAGGTTTTACCATTTTTCTGTCCTTGGGTAGGTGACCATATTCCTCTACAAATCTGCCCAGTAAAGATATCGGTAATAGTAGATAGTAGCATACTGTGAGGGTTAGGTTAATCTGTTTAATTTCTTTTTCTTATGGGCTAAAGGATTAACTGCCAATGAGAGGAATGGTTTGGAGTTGGCAGTGATCATCATGGTGATGATCTGTCAAAATGCCCCGTGAGGACAAACGCAGTGTGTGCCAATGCATAATTAAAACAAACAAGAGAAAGAACAGGAGAGGCTATGTGGGAGTCTGACCACATAGTGGAGAGGAAAAAACCCTGCATGCCAATTCAGGGCAAAACCTCTGGTGGCCCCGGAGGAAATTAGCAGTCTGTCAAAACTGAGCTGCAAAAACATCCTATATAAATAAATGAGGGCTTTATTAAGTTATTTTTTAAGTATTTTCTCCGGTGATTAAACAAACAACAAATGGTCAGGCTGACTCAGAAAGATGTATTGTTAAATATAGCGAAGAAAACAATTTTTGTCGGTTTAAGAATGCGCATGTTACACTTACATGTATGTTGTAACCTACTGTTTAAGATAGTTGGTTGGCTTCCCAAAAAGAGAAAAAGTGGCAACGAACATCTTGAATTTAAAGATTATTTATTAGTGTTAAGTCAGCCCTGCTCGTCTCTGTTTATATTTAATATGTGACAAGAAATGTTCAAACAATAAAAAGTCAAATGTTGCGAGAAACTCTGCAAAGAAACGATACACAGAAGTCATACTGAAAAAGTAGGCCTAAATAATGTTTAAATGTGATGACGGCACTGACAAACAGCGGTAATTTGCAGACATTGCCTTTGCAAAAACGTTCTCATAGATTTCCTTTTTCTTTTACTTTTAACTTTGATGTTTAAAGTAACATTCCTGACTTGTGTCTAAAATCAGCTGGAAAGGGATAATGTTTGAATACCATTCACAACTGGCAAAAGATAAAAACATTTTTAAAATAATTTCTGCTCTGTACAATCATAGCTGCATACATACTTACAAGAATGATTAAACTATCTTTGGTACTGCTTTTTTTTACTCCTTTTGTAAGTTTAGTGGTTTATCCTTCCTATATAAAGTCTTAGTTATGCTACTGTGACAATTAACTTTACAAATCCATTCTTTTGTTTTTAACCTGTCAAGAAACCAACCTGTACTATAGTTAGAACCTTGAGCAAGAAAATTGACTTGCCACTTTCTCAAACAGTCATGATTCTGGCCTCTTGCATAACTGGGTTTGAAAACAAAACAGTTCCTCTAATATTCACAGGTTTACAGTAGTATGACTTTTCAGCTTTGAATTCACAATGTACAGGTAGATGTATAAACAGTAATCTACCAGAAATAAATTAGAAGTTTAATTCTGAATTAATTTTTTGGGTGTCATTGATCATTCATGACTAATACATTTGAGTGACTAATTAGTGAAAATTAAATCCCCTCAATGGTGTGATTTCAGTGGACAGAGGTCATGTTTAATGTCAAGCCTAGACAAAATCAGGTAAGAAAATGCAAAAAGGAACTAAGTTATCCTTCTCACCAAGAAAACAGCAAGTTCATGCTATTGATATGCTGAAAACTGAACTAAATCAGAGCTATATTCCATCCATCAATCCACCTTTTTCCAATTCAGAGTCTTAGGGGACCTGCAGCCTATGCTGGCAATAAATTGGTGTCGTTGGGGGTACACCCTCTATGGTATGCCAGTCCTTCGCAGGGTAGACAGACACAAACACAAACTCACGCTATTCACCAAATGCCAAATCCCAATTAGCCTACTAGTATGTTTTGGACTGTGGCAAAAAAAACAGCACAGGAGGAAACAAACAAAGAAGTGGAAAACATACAAAATTCACACAGATCCCTTTGTAACCTACGCATGCTGGTGCAGCTACTTGAGCTTCTAGATCAATTGAGTTGAGCAATCAAAAGGTAATTGTCTCTCTAGAAACTACATAACTTTGCTTGTTTGGTGACACAAAATGGCTTCTTGATAACACGGCATGTCATAGCATTACATTGATCAAGTCCTGGAACCTCACTTGTTGTACTTACAGTGGGCTCATCCTGATGTGAGAATAAGACATTAAATTGATCATGTTCTGGTACCTCACTTTGTTCCACTTACAGTAAGCTCATCCTATTGTGATATGGTGTTAGGTAGGACAGCTTGGACAACTTATGCTGCTCGTGTAACAATAGTTTAGTTGTGAGATAATTTGTGGACTCACTACATAGATACTCTGCTATATCATCAGTTCATTCATACAGTTCGTTCATCAGTTCATTCATACACGGAATATACCCCAAGCAACTTTGTGTCATTTTTGTGGAGCTTTTTTCCTTGAGCAAGTATTATCAATGGTACCAGTTTCACAAATACTTGTCAAGCCTGTTTGGAGTAGTACTAGGGACTCAGGATCCCACACAAATGTTTGCTTTACAGTATTACCTGTAGACAGTATGCCTCTTTAAAGTTTAAAGAATTTACATTTACGAATTATGTGTCCTTCTTAAATGAGTAAAATCAGCAGAATCGAAAGTGCTTTGCTTTCTACATAGTGAAAAATTTGAGCAATGCTGTTGGTTTGAGAAAGAGTAGCTATGAGTTATCTCACTTCAAGTAACCCAAAAATTGTCATGTAAATCCTGGTGGTTAATGTCTGAATCCTTAGTTAATCATGACATCTTACTTTCACAGCTTGAGATTGTTTGAAATTTCTGACATTGCACTTAAATGGTTCAAGTCTTACATATCTGATCACTGTCAGTTTGTCTCTCTTGGAAGTTTCAAATCTGAAATCAGATATGTTAAGTCAAGTGTTCCTCAGACTCCATACTGGGTCCCATCTTTTCTAGCTTTTACACATTCCCACTTGGTCTATTAAGATCACATGGTCTAAATGATCATTTCTATGCTCAAATCTACGTCCATACAAATCCTGACACTGAAGTGAAAGTCTCTGCTCTCTAAATCCATCTCTGATATAAAAACATGGATGACTCAACATTT